TGAGAGTATTTCAGTAGTGTTTGTGCAAGGCCAGATGTTTTCAGTAGTGTGTGTGCGAGGTTAGTTTGAATGTTGGCCTACACGGCCCCTCATAGGCTGTGGCTCCATCTCTCATTCATTCTTTCTTCCCTTGTGGTTTTTGTTCATCTTACTCCGGGCTTTAGGCAATAAACAAATGATATGTATAAGTTGTTTACACTACATTTCTTCACCTGGTAGGTTAGGTTTTATTTGAAATGTTTAATCTCTGAGATTTCTGTCTCTATCCAATAAAGGGGAATTAAAATGGTTGTGTTCTGCTCAAAGCATAGAAAGAACGTCATTTAAAGAATAAGCAGCAGCACATATCTCTGTTTCTATTGGAACAAAGTCATTCCCAAGGAGAACTCTGAATTATCCAAAGTAGCAGGGTTATAAAATAATAACTATGCATAAAACTAAACTATCTGCATGACTAGGTACCACAAGAGAGAACAGAGAAATGTTGTCTTTTTATTATTTCAGTGAGCCAACTCTTTAACATTTAATATGCTCCCTTGTATCTGTGTTAGTGTTGCTTTGTGAAACAGAGCAGATTAGAAAAGAGGAAAATGAAAATGTTCTATTTAATAAACAATGCTCAGGTCTAAAATAGTTTCACTGTAGCATGGAACTGGAGCAAGACACAACAGATACAATCTGACTAAGAGTAGTTGTAATGCATATATGTGCACAAATGTGCATATAACCACTTACACATGCATGACTGTATATATGCTAATACATTCATGTATGTTCCCCATGCACATACTGGAGATATGTGTACATACAGGCAGCTGCTATATATACATTTGTATGCATAGACTATGTATGCAACGCAATGCAATATCTATTGAAAAATTATGAATTGATTTAAAACGAGATATATAGAGCAACTCATACATATGTATGTTTCTTTATTTATTCTGCTCTCTTTTTTGTATATGTATAAATATTTGTTCCTGTGTAAAAAGTTGAAGAACATTATAAAATAGAAGAACTATTTTTCTATATAAACAGAAAATATTTCCCGATGAGGATTTACTATAAGTGTGTAAGAATTACAGTGTAAGGGATATATGCAGCGATATTATCCTGCTTATGACACATCTACTTACTAAATTAATTAATAATTTAAATCCAAAGTTTTGTGCGCTTTACAAATATAGAAATAAGAGTTAAAAAGTATTCCATGTTGTTTTGGGATGAAGGAATACTAATGTTTGGGTCACAGCTGACGTTTGAATGACGGGACTTCTTTCTGCAGATTGATATGACTGCACATGGTCCCTTAATCAGAGAGATAGTGTAATAGCAGTATTACACTATCGAAAAAAGAGCAGGTCCCTAAATCCTCTAATCTACCAATCAGAATCGAGTATTCAAGTAACATGTCCTCAGTCTAACCACCCAACACTCTCCTGTAATGAGGCCTCGCTCTATTTTTACCACATTTCTCTTTTAACTTCACATCTGTGCTGTACAGATTTTTTCTCAGCTGCAGCTACATATATAGAAAGTATATTTCTCTCCATGTGGTTGGTGGTCATTTTGAAGCTGGAGGATGGGCTTCCTTAGAGAATGTGCTGTGTTTACCAGCAGATAGCATGGAGGAGATTTCACCCTGCTTGTTTGCAGCCTGAAGCCCACGCCCTGATTTCTCATCGGCATGAAGCAGAGACAGAGAAAGAGAGAGAAGGAGAGGAAGCCAGGGAGAGGGTGGAGGGTGCTGCTGGGAAGAAGGAGGGATGTAGCTCGGAGCAAAGGTCATCTGATGAACAAAGACTTCAGCTTGACGTAATCATATAAATGGAACAAAAGAGTGAACATCCCAGCTTGTGCCACACATGGCCCTCTGTCATCGTGTGTGTGCATATTTGCTTGTAGAGGAATTTTCCTTCACTGGATCCTCATAAATAAATGTGTGACTGTAAGGCATTTGACTGTTGGTAGGTCAGAGAAGCTTCAGCTTTTATGAGGCCACTGATTTATTCCAAGAACGTAACACAGAGAATCTTCTTTGATATGTAGGTCAGAACATTTGAAAGTATGCAGCCGTGCCCAGACCAGAGATCTGTGGGGAAGAAGAGGATGTTCAGGGACAGGATACAGCTGGCTCTCAGTCAGAACCAATGCTTATAGTACATGTACACTGGAAGACTCTGAGAGGTAACATCCTAACAAAGGCTGAGAGCATGGCAAGGATCAGCATAATACTGTTCAAGTTACAAGAACAAAGTCTCCTTAAATACCTTGTATGAGGTTGGGCTTGAGTGTAGGACTATAGCTGTTTTTCAATTGGATACTCCCCCAAGCACACTGACTTGTTGTCTTAAATCGTGAATGTTGGTGTTGTCAGGCAATCAGTGGACTGTCTGAAATGCTGTAACCTTCTCTCAAAATCATACTTTACATCAGTTTAAGTCAGTTCTTACATATGTGCATGAAAGCTACAGTATAAGCAGTTCTAAATGTTCTGAATTAGATGTGAAAGGTTGAGGGAAATACCTTATTTCTTTGTTTATTGAGGATGGAGATGATATCTTTAATTTAGTTTAACAAATAAACTATTTCATAAAAAAGCACATTGCACATAGGAAGTTATGCTAATATGAAATGATGTCATTAACTAACAGTCAGGACACAGACAGGTTAACTCTGGTGGTGACCATTGATCCATAGCTCTGATCTCCTAAAGGGATTAAACGTCTCAGCTGGTCGTACTATTACTAAACCTTACACACACACACACACACACACACACACACACACACACACACACACACACACACATGGATACACCGATCACTTAGTGTTAGTGTATACGTGTGTGTCCATCCTCTAGGGTGCACACAGACAGGTTATCAATAACTTGGGTCATCAATCTGACACAGCGTAGAGGATGTCGTGTGTGTGTGTGTGTGTGTGTGTGTGTGTCTCAGTGCAGAGGACACATCTGGCACTTAGCCAAATGTCGTCAATACTGTTGAAAGCTTTGTGACAATGAGGTAAAGTGTGTTTACAGGAGTGTGACGCAGACTGAGAATTAACATTTATCAGATATGTTCTTATTGCATGGTGATGAAATGATTACCCTAAGAAAATAAACATTGACCTAAATCCCTTGGTGTGGAAGAGAGAATAAAAAAGCGGGTGAGATGAAGGCAGATTAGTGCCGGCAGGTTGTCAAATGGATGGTTTTATCATTTGTCTCTGTCTGTCTCACACAAAGCGTCCCTCTGACAGCTGGGGAGCCGAGCAAATATTATCAGAGAGCTTCCATTAATCAAAGCTGGAGGCTGGTGATTAAACAATGATTCTACACACTGATACGACACAATAAGTCTGTTCAGAAATTAACATAACATAATCATTCAATCTAAAGATACACACTTTATTATAGAATAATTTGTACAGCTCATTTGATAAAATGTACTTTTTGGGGGGGTTGAGTGTTTTTTTAAGCGTGGCTTCATATTAGCTCTATACCAGATCCTCCATAAGATGATGTTAGAGGCTATTTTGTGTTTTTCTTTTGTCATGTTTTTTTTTGATAAGATATATATAACTTTCAGTTACAAAAGGTTTTTCTGGTCTCGTTATCCTCAACCAGAATGAAAGCTGTACCAGTCTCTTCTCTCTGCATCCGCTTCAGAGACGAAATAAGTTAGCAGTTAGCTGCAGGTAGCTCAACATGAAGACAAGTGTAAAGAGCAGCTCTAAATAGCACTTTCCATCTACTATAGAATGTGTTATTTAGAGTTTTTGTTTTTCCTTTTAGTTAAACAGTTTTGTTGTTGTCCACTTATCCCCACCAAGTTTAGAAGCATTCATTATCTTCTCTCTGCGCTCGCTTCAGAGTTTAAAGCAGGAAGCAGTTAGCTACAGTTAGCTTACCATGTTGGCAACACAAACATAAAAAGCAGCTCTTTTCATCAACCTATTATTTTATATGTTGTATACACATCGCTATGAATCATGTGCTGATATAGAAATGTAAAAAGGAGCAGTTAGCATTAAAGCATTTTGAATGTGTTGAATGTTGTCTACTACTCTACCGTTTTGCTACAAGTAAAACAAATTAAGATATTTACAGAATTCTCAAAACAAAAGTTATTTCATGTTAATGTTCCTGATAGTAAATTGAAACTAGTAAATTAGTAAGCTTGTAAACCAAGAGTGTTTATAATGCAGGCAATGGTAAATTACTTCCACTGAATAGCATGCTAGCTAATAAAAAACAATATTCCATTAGCAGGTGTTTAGGCGCGGCCACACAGCAATTGGTGATGGTCATATAAACCAGGACATGGAAATGTTGTGGAAACGACAGTGTGCATGTGTGTGGCCGCTTGTGTGTGTATGCCTTTGTGTGTGTCTGTGTATGTGTTGTATAGCACAGCTGTTGTGGTTTCCCAGGCTGGCTGGTTGACTCTACACTTACAGCGTATAATACTCAGTTTAAACAGGCACACAATAGGTCAGCCTGGTTCCCACGACGAATAGGACAGGTCCCCTGCTCTGTTTTTATTGCCTGTGTGTGAGCAGCGCGCTTTTAATTAGACCAGACAACCCTCAGTCTCCGTTCATTCAGTGTGAGGAAGCAGCAGCACATTCTCATTGAAAGGTTAAGAAGCCTTTTAGTTGAGTAAATTGAGAGGTGACTTTGTGGTGCATTCTGACCCTTGCAGGCTACCATAGTCACATCAACATATTCTACATTCATATTTCCCTATGTCCTTTCCTAACCACTTTTCCTTAAACTCAGTGAAAAATGTTATGGGATTAAGAAAAGATGAGGAAAGGCTCACTTTAGAGGAATTTAAGGAGTTTATTGTAATGTTGTTAAACGATTAATTTATTTTTTATTTCTGGTGATATGAATAATAAATATCTAACAGATTGTTGCGATACAAATGTGAACTATATAACTTGATGCTGTTCTTCAGTCTCACCGGCCTCTGCTCTGTTTCTGTGTCCAGGTGGTGGTTCCTACCCGGGTGGGACAGGTGTATGTGTACGACACACTGAAATCAGACCAGGACGAGTATGACATCCCACCCAGACATCAGCCCCCGAGCCAGCAGGACATTTACGACGTGCCACCCACCCGCCAGCAGTACAACACACAGGTCAGTGTGTGTGTGTGTGTGTGTGTGTGTGTGTGTGTGTGTGTGTGTGTGTGTGTGTGTGTGTGTGTGTGTGTGTGTGTGTGTGTGTGTGTGTGTGTGTGTGTGTGTGTGTGTGTGTGTGTGTGTGTGTGTGTGTGTGTGTGTGTGTGTGTGTGTGTGTGTGTGTGTGTGTGTGTGTTCGCCTTTAGGGCCTTTACATTTGATTCCACACGCATAGGTCAGTTTATTTCTGTGTAATTCCACACATACTGTTTCTTGCTGAATAAGCAGGCACTTTGCACGCACACACACAGGCAGAGTGTACATAGCAGAAAGTCATGTTGCTGATACACCAAGAAAGAAAGGTCACTCGCATACAGCCACAGCAAAATGAAACCTGGAGTAGGAGGAGAAGGAAGAGGCGGGAGGAGGAGGGAGGATGAGGAGGAGGGAGGATGAGGAGGAGGGGGGAGGAGGAGGGAGGATGAGGAGGAGGGGGGAGAAGCACAGTAAGGAATAATGACAATGAATGATGGGAAATATGAAGGGAAGAGGAGAAAGAGCAGGAGGAAGATGTGTGGCTGTAATATCAGATGTAGCTGCTGGGCTTTTTCTGAAGAATGAACGCACCGCAACACCGGGCTCTTCATCAAAATGTCTGCTGTGTGGGAGATGACTCTGACCATAACAAGTCATCACACACACACACACACGCGAGCACAAATAAACAGGTGGGACTTAACGTTAGTAGGAGAATGGAGCTGATGGATAGGGCTGTGAATCTTCATCTTTCTCACGCTACATTCAAAAGTCATTCAGGATTCTATACATGGGGTGCTAGTTTCAGGATCTAACCGTGTGTGTGTGTGTGTGTGAGTGAGTGTGAGAGATCAGATGTCAGAGGCAGGAAGTCCGTACAGTGTGAGAGACACAGAGTGAGCTTGATTGAAGTACAGCGTGGAGTAATAAAGTGTTAATAGATAGACACGTTGGAGCGGTCTAATTGTCTTGTCCTTTTCCTGACCACCATTCCTCAAAGAAATATGCGAAGGAGAATCGATCAGGATTTATGAAAGTACAGCCGAAGAGGATCTGACTTCACTTTTTTGGGCAATGATTGGGCAATGTGATTAAGTTCCATGGTAAAAGAAAACGACCATTTGTCGTAGATGGATGACTAAATGTGCATCTAGATACTTCCCCCTGTGCTTTCTTACCATGTTGTTTCATACAGGCTGAATAACTGGACGACAGTGACAAATATAACATAATTACCACAGTTTGAATTCAAATGTAAGAGATCTGATTGGGGAGCAGGCCGGCTCTATTGCACCTTAGCCTATCACGTCCAATGTGTTGGAGCGCTAGCCAATAGAAGTGCGATTGTTACATAGTGATGTCATAATGTTAGGGATAAGGAGTCCAATGGAGGTGTTTCAGGCAGGGGGGGGGGGGAGTGTGTGGGAGAGAAACCGCTCTTATCATGGCTGCCTCTTCTATGTTATTTAACTCAGTTAGGGACCTTCCCAAACAAATAATACTTTTCGACTACAACCTTACTCAAAATGTTTCATATCAAGGTGATCATGTGACCAACACTGCTTCACATTCCTGGGTCAGCTCTCTTCCCCTCCTTTCTCCCTTTTCTTTCCCTCCTGCTCCTGTCTCTCTCCTTTATTCTCCTCTAATCCTCTTCCTGCACCTGTGTTACCTTCCTCTCCTCTCTAGCTCTTCATTTCCTCTCCCTCCCGTGAGACAAAGGCAGTAGATGTGAGGCATTCAACCATTTAAGCTTTGTTTTATGACTCGTTAGCTCCTCTCACACTGTGTCTGTGTACTGGCACCAGCCATTTCATATGAGCCAGCAGATAGGTATGTGTCCTGAATCCTGTCAGCCAGAAACTGTTGATAAGGCTCCCTCTCAAATTGTAATCAGGTTCTTTTTCTCATTCAGTAATTATATGATTAACAAACTTCCTGAATAAATCAGTGTGCCTGTTTTTATGTCACTATTACCCTAGATGACACCGTGTAAAGAAACACGATGAAAGCAGCTTCTTCTAAAATGTTGTGATGAAATGATCAGAACATCTGGTACCAACAACTACACTCATTTACATCTCCCATCTGGCTTATTATACAGTCGTGTAACGTTGAGAAATGACTGCAGGATGGGTATCTGCAGGGAAGAGTCAGAACTGAATTAAGTTACCTAAAAGAAGTTTTAACATATCTAAAAAAACATATTTTATTTACAAAAGTCATAATTGTTTTCAATGCCTTGAATTGAAATGAAATAAATGCTATTTTGTTTTCAATTATGTAATCCATCTATCCATGTTAATGAGCTTTTCCAGGGCCTGGTTGCATTACTTTAATTGTAATTAATTAATAGCAATGATATATTCCTGTTATACTTAAATAAATAGGCTGGTATGCTTAAAAAGTGTGTGTGTGTGTGTGTGTGTGTGTGTGTGTGTGTGTGTGTGTGTGTGTGTGTGTGTGTGTGTGTGTGTGTCCGTTTGTGTGTTTTCAGTGTGATGTGTGTAACAGCATGTTTATTTATGTGCCTCTTTCTCTCTGTGTTCAGGTGTATGACACTCCTCCCATGGTGGTGAAGGGGCCCTCTAGTGGTCAGGGTATATATGACACCCCAGTAGGCTCGGACAAGCACACACAGCAGACGGTAAGGACGTGTGTGTGTATGTGTGTGTGTGTGTTTCACAAATGTACATCACAAGTTGCTTGATACTGACAAATTGAAGATGTACTGTACATGTGTGTGTCCTTACTGCAATGTTTATAAAATATGATATAAATTGATCGTCAATTTAAAGGACTAATATGCAGCATTTTCCTGGGAGAAGAATGTGTTATGACTCGTTCTAAAATCATTTGTTTTAATCATCGCCTCTGACACACGGCTCCTCTGAGGGTCTGTTTATTTGTGCTCTAGTATTAAAGCATTTTAAAAGTGACATTAGGTCTCTCTCTCTGTATCTCTGTCGTTGAGGCAGGGAGGAGCAGTACGCCTTGATGCTGTGTGTTTACAAACCGTAACATTTTTATAACAATGAAATATTTCTCCCTCTCTCCCTTCAGGTCTATGACTTCCCCCCCCTCGGTCAGTAAAGATGTCCCTGACGCTCATCCAATCAGAGAGGAGACCTACGACGTGCCACCTCACTTTGCCAAACTCAAGCCAGTCCCCGCCCCCCCCCGGCCAGTACCCACACAACCATCTCCTCGACGACGACGAGCCGCCCATTCCAGAGGACGTGTACGATGTCCCGCCCCCAATCCTGACTGACAAGCGTTACCGCGCCGACAGGGACGGGGTCAGCCAGCCCCCCCAGGACATCTACGACATCCCCGCCAGCCTGCGGAGCGGGGGGCACTCCGCCCAGGACGTGTATGACTTCCCCCGGGACCGAGAGGAGAAAGGGGGAGAGAGGGGAGATAACAACATCTACGATGTGCCCCCACAGGTAGGACAGTTAAAGGGCAGTAACACATTTTTGGAGTTAGCGTGCAACTATCAACATTACAATAATACTCTGTATACATTTCATATTTGTCATGGGGCAAAGTTGCGTACGTAGAGAAGCAGCCAACAGAAACTAGGCTCCCTATATTCTCCCCCTCAAACTAAGCTAACTATTAGCAGCTGTGCTGGTGATTCTTAATTAGCCCACGATGTACACACACATCCACACAGCACACACACATGGCCACAATAACCAACAGTGATAAAAGCCAAAACACCAATTGGCCCCTACGCTGAAAAAACTGAAACGTTGACAGATTTCACGAAACTGTATCAGGTTAGATGAAAGCAATAATATTAAGTTGAACCTAATATGTTTTATTTAAACTTAATATTATTGCAACAAACATAATACAGTTATGTGAAATCTGTTTACTTAATACATTGAATTAAAGTCAACGTCTACATGTTTGAGTTGACCTTCATTTATTTCAAAATTGTTGAACATTTACAACTTTTACATTATCATGTAGTTAGTATTTGTTGACTAACATTGCAATCATTTCCAAAAGTAAATACTAATAATAAATAATATAAAAGTAATAATCATAGTTTGTACTGATGTAATGAACCCTGTTAGCTAAATACGCATACAGGACACTGCTAGCCTAGCTTGTTAGCATCTGCTTGAATCCAGATGTGATGTGTTTCCAGGTGGTGCGTGACGCCCAGTCCACCAGTGAGGACCTCAGCCTGTCCTTCAAGCGTCTCTCTGCCTCGAGCACAGGAAGTACACGGAGCAACCACTCTGCCTCCTCCCTGGACATGGTCCCAGTCCGAGACAGCTCCTCATCCTCCTCACTTCCTGGCTCTGCTCCAGGGAAACCCCTCATCCTGGACCTGGAGCAGGCCATGGAGCGCCTGTCCCGCCTGCAGCAGGCCGTGGAGTCCAGCGTGTCCCTCATGATGTCCTTCATCACAGGAAACTGGAGAAGCTCTGCTCAGCTGGAGGGGAACCTCCCGGCCATCCACCAGGCCGCTGACCGCGTGCGCTCCGCGGTGAGGGACTTCCTGGAGTTTGCCCGGGGCGCGGTGGCTAACTCCGCCCAGGCCACGGACCGCTCTCTGCAGACCAAGCTGTTCCGTCAGGTGGGGAAGATGGAGGAGGTCTTCCAGAGTCTGATTCAGCACAGTCAGGGTTTGGACGTCATTTCCTGGTCGCACACTGGGCTCGCAGCGCCGCCACCAGGAGGGGACGACTTAGATCGGCTCATCATGACGGCTCGAGGTATCCCTGACGACGCCAAGCAGCTGGCCTCCTTCCTCCACGGCAACGCCTCGCTGCTCTTCAAGAGAAACAACCGGCAGCAGCAGCAGCTTCCGCTTCCTCCAATCCCAGGAGAGATCAGCAGTCACATGACAGGATCAGGAAGTGGGAGCTATCAGGGAGGGGAGAAGGTGCACATTCAGTCGAGACCCCTCCCCTCGCCGCCGAAGTTCTCAGCTGCAGAGGAGGAGGGTATGGAGCGGCCGTACGAGAGCACAGAGGAGGGCTGGATGGAGGACTACGACTACGTACATTTACAGGTACACACACTTTTCATAAAGCCCAGACAGAAAGAAAAAGATAGTTTCATGTTACTTTAGCACTTTAGCAATGAACTGATCACACACTTTCAGTCAGGATACTCACATCATGGTGTAAACACATTTTAGTTAGAGACTGTGCTCATGTGTTGCACTGGAGCAGAGTCCGTGAGCTGCCCTTAAAGGTGGGGTAGGTACGTTTGAGAAACCGGCTCGTGATCGCTAGAATTTGAAAATACACAACCGGAGAAAATCTGCCACTTCCTTACAGAGCCCCTCCTCCAACACACACGAACGTGCACATGACCAATGAGGGCACGAGATAAGTTTGTGCACAGATGGAAGGCTGACAGGCAGGTAGGCCATCCAGTTATTTTAGCCGGGTCGGCTAAAATGATTGGTCGTGCTTTTTACAGTATTACGGCTTCCACAGATGATATTTTTTAATGGATTTTTTGTCAAAGCACTTAAGATATTTATTGCTATCGGGATGTTAAGAGCATTCCATGGAATATAACAAAAAATGTATCTCGAGCCAGTTTCTCAAACTTACCTACCCCACCTTTAATACTTTATTTTTGTCGAAATTTTATTTTATTTTCATTTTCATTTTTTTTCTTTCTTTCCAACAAATATTTATACATCATGTCTTTGTTAAACAAGGGCCATGCAAAAAGATACATTGATTTTAAAAAGAGAAGACATGATTTGTAGCCGTTAGCTTATATCCATCTACACAATCAATAAACACTTAAAACATTACATAGTCTACCAACTAACAATTATAAAATAGAAATTAGCACGGACCAACATTATCAGTACAACTATAGTATAACAAATCATTTTTAACTAAAACTAAAATGATTGTTAAGTTAATGTGGTTATCCAATACCCATTTGTAGAGAAATGCAGTAAAGCTCCATGCTATCACTCTGTTTGACTGTGTAGTTGATACTGTATCTGAGAGTACTATGATGGTGCCAAGCTTTCCTGTTGGCCTTAAGTAAACATTTCCTTATCCAGCTGACTGACCTTCAGAGTCACTATGTCATTACAGATTTACAGATAAGCCATAGATTTCAACTCAAAGTGATTGCAGTTCCTGTCTGTCACCACTAGAGGGAGACAGATCATTACTTTTCTTTGTCTACTGATCCAGAAACAGAGAGATGTGTGTCCGTGGTGTAACAGCTGTGTGTCTGTGTGTTGATCTGTCAGGGAAAGGAAGAGTTTGAGAAGAACCAAAAACAGCTGCTGGAGAAAGGCAGCATCAGCAGACACAAGACACAACTGGAACAGCAACAGGTACCCGTCTTTACCCAGTCTACACACACACCTACACACACCTACAGAGACACCTACACACACCTACACACACCTACACACCACACACCTACACACACCTACACAAACATCTACACACACCTACACACACCTACACAAACATCTACACACACCTACAGCCTCTACACACACCTACAGCCTCTACACACACCTACAGCCTCTCCACACACCTACAGCCTCTACACACACCTACAGCCTCTCCACACACCTACAGCCTCTACACACACCTACAGCCTCTACACACACCTACAGCCTCTACACACACCTACAGCCTCTACACACACCTACAGCCTCTACACACACCTACAGCCTCTACACACACCTACAGCCTCTACACACACCTACAGCCTCTACACACACCTACAGCCTCTACACACACCTACAGCCTCTACACACACCTACAGCCTCTACACACAACAAACAGCACCATCATTACAGAAAAATGATTAATATGATATATATTATAGCCGTTATATAGTTTATTCTGTGATGCACTACAAATAGGTACAGCAGTATATCTAAAATATCTACTCTGCTCTATTTGTATATGTCTACTATGCAAATAAAAAAGGACATATATTTTATATATGATTGGCTTTAAATAAAGATGATATGAGCTAAGTGAGTATAAAAAGCTGTGTATAGCTTCAGAGTTTGATAATGATTCTGTGTTTTTATCACTATCAGCATCCCTTCTAAGGTTCCACACACACACACACACACACACACACACACACACACACACACACACACACACACACACACACACACACACACTGGAATGTCAGATGTTACTCAAACATAATTAATTGATTTATAATTTACATTAAGTATTAACTGTCCCCCTCCTCTCCTCTCCAGATTAAACAGTTTGAGCGGCTGGAGCAGGAAGTCAGCCGGCCAATCAACAACGACATGACGGGCTGGGTCCCGCCCCCACTGCACCCTCCAGCCAACCAGCAGGCCCAGAATGGCTCTGGAGGCTCCTCCTCCTGCTCCTCCTCCTCCAAGCTGTGCCACGGCGACCGGCAGCTCCTCCTCTTCTACCAGGAGCAGTGTGAGCAGAACGTCACCACGGTAACCAACGCCATCGACGCCTTCTTCACCGCCGTCAACTCTAACCAACCCCCAAAGATCTTCGTGGCGCACAGCAAGTTCGTCATCCTCAGCGCACACAAGCTGGTGTTCATCGGGGACACGCTGTCCCGGCAGGCCAAGGGCCCCGAGGTGAGGGCCCGCGTGGGGCAGAGCAGCAACACGCTCTGCGAAAAACTCAAAGACATCGTGATCAGCACCAAGACGGCGGCGCTGCAGTACCCCTCCCCCGGAGCCACCAGGGAGATGACTGACAGGGTGAGGGAGCTGGCGGGGTGCACGCAGCACTTCAGGATGGTGCTGGGGCAGCTGCTGGTGATGTAGGGGGGGGGGGGCAGTGACATAAACTCAGAGTCCCAGGAACACGGGGCAGAGACTCCCCCCCCGGAACGAAGGGATGGTACGCCCCTGCAGCTCGGGGTAGGAGGACCTGTGGAGCCCCTCCAGTGTGGGGTGGAGACCCCACATCCACCCTCTGCTCCCTTCCTACCTCACCTTCCACTGGGACCATTCCTCCCCCATCCCTCCTTTTTATTCTACTCAAAGGAACATTTGTATTTTCAGTGGGCTGGGCCAATGGTTGTAAAATAATCACTGTAAATATTTAAGTTACTGTTAAGTCAGAAAACCAAGAAAGAAAAAGGACTTCCAGTATATAAATATAAATATATGGTTCTTTTTTTGAAGAAGAAGAAGAAAGAAAAGATGAAAACATAAGTGTAGTTTTTAGACAATATCAATAATTGTTATTATTATTGCTATACCGTATAATTCTGGCTCTGATTCCTGATCCGTGTATCATTGTTGTTATGGATGTGTAAATTTCAGATGATATGTATGACTGTATGTTGTAGTACATCTATGCTCTTCTCCATCCCTGACAAAGGCACACTTTCCAAAAAGCACTGGAGCACACGGCCATCTTTAACGTTCTGCCGCGCTGCAGTGAGTTTCACACTGATTACAATCGAGCAGTGAAGGCACCACGAGCCCTGCACAGGTCCACTGATGCAGGTGGGAGCTGATCCAGTGCCCTCTCAGTGGCTTTCTGAGAAACTATATGTAGGTTGTTTTGTAAGAGGCATGTATTAGAGAAAAGGAGTGTAAAAGGTTCAAATCTAGAAATGAAATTAAACCTGCTTTCCTCTTTTCTCTGAAACTGTGGTATGGTCGTTTCTTTCAAATATTCAAAACTGATGATGAAAAGTGAATAATAGGTGAACTATACGGTGGCCGACAGGTGCAAACGCGCTACAACCGCCCAAAGCTTTTCCATTAGGAGGAAACGCACTGAAGTTTCACGATGCACATATCAAAACAGGAAATGTGCAAAAACACATGCAAATGAAGAAACATCTTCACCAAGCTCTCAAAACATGCGGAGCATTTAATCAAAGCGCTGCTTAAACAGAACGCTGCCAATATATCTTTTTTATTTGCATCGTTTTTGAAACGGCAGCGTGTTTATGCTAATGGAAGTGTTCTTGGCCGTTATAATGAGTTTGCCCGTGTCGGCCACCGTAGAACTAGAACCACCTGAAGATGTGTTTGCACAGGCATACTAACCCCCTGTTCTAAAGTTGATCTCAACAGACACACAAGTCTCAGTGCTGAGCAGCTGCATCTCGGGGAGACAAAAACTGTCTGAAAATGTGATTGAAAACGTACAATGTCCGTCGCAAGTTTTACATAAAAAATGTACCATATAGATATTCAAAAAGGGAAACTCCGGATGACTATAAGTTGTGTTACATTATCTGTTCCTGCTAGAAACAAAGGTCAATGACTATCCATTGTTAGCACGATTATCACAGACGTTTCATCTGGAAAGGGGAATGCAGCTTGCACTGGGCTTACTGAATGTGTTATACCTTCAACTAGCAATACGTGTTGTATGTTTGTGTACTCTTAGTGTGCATGAATCAACAGCTACCTACAACTCATGTGTCGGAAATATTTTGGATGTTTTCTTACGGGAATGGAATCAGATCTCAGTGCTCAGGGAAGCTGGTGTGACTGGAACAGATATAAAGTCTACTACGCTTATTCTTCAGTTTTATTAAGTTCAGTTGACTTTATTTCTGACAGGTAATAGTACACAGGCCTATAAGATACAGGTTGATTTCAGATGTGACTCCATCTTTTATACGGTGGTTGTCATGGTGACTGCTACCAGGGGATTTTGTTGCCCTCCCAGTCCAGGAGCATCCCAGAGTGTTTGTTGCTGAGTGTTGTCATGATACTGAGCATCCCCCCCACACTGTCCTGGGGGGTCAGAGGAGCCTGGGGGAGACGAGACAAACAATCACAAGAAAAAAGAAAGTGAGTAGAATTCACGGGACACAGCTGCTCGTCTATAGGGTGGGGGCCTCAGCGGGGAACTACCGGGGGCCACTGGCACCCCTTCTCCACTGAAACCAGTTCTGCTGCATGAATTCAGAAGGTGGTCTGAACTACCCTGTCACTCCCCCTTAGCTCACCTCTTCCCCCCCCATCGCCGTGCGCACCCATCCGGGGTGGACCGCCGTCACCAGGATGTTGTGTCTCCTGAAATCCTCAGCTAGACAGCGAGTCAGCATGTTCAGCGCGGCCTGGTGAAACACAGCAGGAGAGCAGGGGGTTATATTGATTTCTAAAGCAAGATGGATACCTGTTTATGAAACTATCCACAAACATTAAAGGTCTCCTATCATGCAAAATGCTCTTTATTATGTCTTTAATACATAAATGTGTGTCCCCGGTGTCTCAGGGAACTCACCAAGTGTCAGAAAACAAAACCCTCTCTCTTTTCCTCCGTACCCAAATCTCTAAAAACGGGGGTACAACGGAGCTGATCCAGATTTGCTGCCGATATGACGTATATCAGAAAGTTGCTATCAGAAAGAATGCGCAACGTTTTGGAAGTAATATCGTCTTTGTTTACATTAGCATGCTAACACTCAGAGCTAACCTGTACTGGAGAGAGTATGTGTGAAGAAGCAGGAAATAAAAAGGTACTGTCCTTGTGGTAAACCCGCAAGAGCCTTTGAGCTCCATACTGTTTCAGAAATAATCCTTGATGTGTGTTAGAGCCAGTATTTTGATTTTATAAGAAAGGCCACCTACATCTGTAGTCAACACACTATAAAAGACTACAAATCCCACAGCGCCTCCTCTAAAGTGACAGTGATGGGCAACCTGCTAGAAAGACGCCGTTGAGGAACAGTTTTTAACCGTTAAACTACCCTTTAAGTTCTGAAGTTATATAAGCCTTATCAAGAAGAAAGAATACCTAAGTTGTTTGTTATTTTATTTGAGTTTTGCTTATTTGTTTTGAATATTTTAAAGGCCTCTTTTCTTTGTTGCACATGTAAAGGTTTGTTATTTTATTTTTGAGCAAACACATGGCTTAATACCATCCAAACCATCGGAGGCCAAGCAACTCTTTAAACTGTAAGTAACACAAATATAAAGGAAGAAAACGAGTTCAAACATGTCTATTTAAGGCGTCTAGAGGCTGGATAGATAAACAAGGAAGGAAGCCACGACCATGTGGTTTGGAACATAATATGGCGCTTCATTACGGCAGCATTTAGCTGAGAATCTCTGAGCAGGCCTAATCATGGGGTATCAGGCATGGCTAGAATGGGTGATCTCTTTGGTATTTTGAGCAACACACTTTTTTGAGACCTATAATATATGCCTAAAAACAGTATAATAGGAGACCTTTAAATGGAAGCAGATACAATTATTTGTAATGACTGAATGTCAAATGTAATATTCATGTTACCCAATCACAGTCAAATCCGCTGAGCTCAGACAGAAGAGGTAACTGCAGCTTTTTAAAACCATCCTTATTTTTAATTAAATCACGTCTATTAATTACTCTGCAGGGTACAGACTACAGATATCCTCTGGATCCTCTGTGTTTTGAATCATTCTCTCTTATTAACCCTTAAGAGTCCCTTTAAAAAAAAAATGCCACCTTCACAAAAACTGCTATAAAAATATGATATATTAATATTATATTATTTCCCCTTTAAAAGAGTCAATCTTTTAAAACTACTCCAGCCTGACATACACACATGAAATATGAATTATATTTTGGGGATTTTATCCCTTTAAATGCCAGTTTGTTGAAAAAACTCCACAGTTTTTTGATTGAAAAAAACTTGAATGATTTTCAAAAAACACATTTCAAGGAATATTTGATTATTGTTATTATTAGGTCCCTAGATTGGTCAATGATTGGCAGCAACATTAATTTGAATGCATTGTTTGTTTTTTTGCAGTGTCAGATTTAAACAAAAACTCACACTCATGTTCCTAAGGCCAGAAAATGCCACCCTCACAAAAACTGCCATAAAATTATAATATTCCTATTTTTTCCCACTTTAAAAGAGTAAATCTTTTAAAACTACTCCAGCCTGACTAAAATGAATAATACAAGATCATCTTGAACCAGAAAAACATTTATTTTACAAAGATGAACATTGAATGAACACTGTGTGTCTGGCTGTGAGAGTTCAGCTCAGGTCGAGCAGGGGCTGCAAATGGACAGACTGTGGTCCTTGCATATGAATTTCCCACATTTGCAGCAGGTGCTGCAAACTCTTCTGTCCATGCAAAAGTGGCACTGCCTCCTGCTCTTCCGTTCACTGATGAGAGGGGCCTGCAGCAGCACCCTGCAGATCTGACACCATTGTTGCAGCGGCTGATGAGCGGGGAAGGCGCCCTCTCTTCTTGATGTGTGGGGTCACCAGCATTTCTCCCACCTCTTCAATGAAGAGCCTCCTCCTGTACGGTTTCTGCTGCTGCCAGGATGGCTCGATTGATGTCCACAGGACGTAGGCGTTGTAATGGGAAATGTCAACCAGGTTGTGGAAGAGGGCAAGTGCCTGGAGCAAATTAGGGGGAAGCTCAGGCTTGTTTCGGCGAATTGTGCCAACCAGGGCCAGTTGTCTCCTGAGCAGCTCCTCAGCCAGGGCGAAGGACGTGAACAAATTGTCACAGGTAATGATGTGTCCCTGGAGCCCCTCTGTCATCTCCAGGACCACCCTCATCCCCTGGTTGACTTCAGGATGACTGCCAGCTGCTTTGCCTGTATACACCTGCAGTCTCCAGGCGTAGGATGATTTTACATCACAGTTTGCCCAAATCTTTATACCGTATTTGGCCGGCTTTTTTGGCATGTACTGCTTGACGCTGCACCTGCCTCTGAATGGGACGAGCTGTTCATCCACGCAGACGTCGCTGAATGGGCTGAACAGCATCGGCAGGCGGTGCGTCCACATATCCCAGACTTTGCGGAAGGCAGCCAGCTTGTCATCACGGCGCCGCGGTCGGGATAGCTTGTCGTCGAACCGCAGTGTTCGGCTGATTTGGTGAAACCTCTTGTGGGACATCGTGGCTCGGAAAATGCTCCGCCCCGATTTCTCACTCCAGAGGCTGAGGGTCGATTCATTTTTTGACCTGTAAACACCGGCCAAAATGAGCAGCCCCACGTAAGCCTGCAGTTCCTCTGTGTCCACTCTGCAATTGACCGTCTCCCATGCAGGTTTGTCATGGACACAATATGCTTCAGGATGTCATCCGTCAGCAGCAGTGCAAAGCTGGATGCCGGGTCACTGATTCGGGCGACAGCATAGTGTGTTGGTCCCGGGATCAAACTTCTGGCTGCTGGGACGTAGCGGAGCGTTTCAGTGTTTGTGGGAGACCAAAACACTTTACCATTTTTTGAAGTCCATCCTGCAGCTGCTTCCTCTAACTCCCTGTTATATCAATCTTGGACCTAGTCATAGTAACTAGGTATGTTATTAAGTTACAGTTTCCATAGAATCGTCTCTTTGCTAATTATTACGTTAAGTGAGCTGACGCCAAGCTCAGAGGAAATGCAAAGAGGCTACATTTAGATATAATACAGTTAAGTGTTAGTTAATGGAAGAAATGTATGTGCGTTCATGTGCAGACTTATATATAGTTTGTTAATTCGATAATTCATATCCTGCAAGACTCCGAAAGAAGTCATGAGATGATGACCTTTCGACATCTGGAATATGTCCAAGTTTGGGAGAACTGACAATGTGTGTGCGTTAAACATGATTAGCCTCTTAAACACGGCGGTCCCCCCATTGGACCCCTCCCACCTTTTTGTTTTCGAGATAATGTCTCAGGGCTTCTTAACATTTATGAAACTATTAATGTGTAGCACCAGATTAACGGGAAGAATCTCAGCTAACTGAAGATATGAACCATTTTTACCAAAACAAAACACAAGTCTCATAAGAAGGGTCTAAATGACCCCTGAGCGAAAAAATTATAATGCACTGCGGCACACAATTCAAGATAAAGATACCCTTATTACTTATCGTAGCTGCACCTACAATATAGCCTATTAAAGCTGAGACTCCACTGATTATTTAGGTATAGTATCATCACTGAGCGATCCGAACTTGCGACAGGGGAAGCAAACACAGACATCACAACACGTACCTTTACGGAGCTTTTACGGCAGATCGTCTCACCGTAGCTGTCAATTAGGTCAAAAAACGTGTTCAATGGCATTAAAACGAAAAAAAAATGTCTACAACTGTTGATCCATAGGTTGATAATGTACCTGTACCTTTTAAAACATTATTTATAATCCATAATTCCATTTTTTATGTAAAGATCGGAGCGGAAAAGTTAGCTGCTAATGGTAGCCACCAGAGTGTATGCAGCTTCCGGTTTTGGTAACGCGTCACTCTCACTCCTTATTTGTTAACGTTTTGGTGTGTATATAACTTTCCCTCGATTCCATTGGCTCTAGCGGTTATAAAGAGATTTCATTCATCAAAATCGACCAAGGGGGGCCAGAGATAGGTCAAATCCACCCAAATGACCCCAGAAGTGGGGGTTTTTGGCTAAATCTCTCTAAAAAGGTTAAATTTCACTTGTTTTGCATCAATCTTGATACAGGGTACTTGTTATATGTTGTACTTTGGATTCCTAAAGCTTTTAGTCTACTAACCCATCATCCAAGGGTAGTTTTCACTATAAGTAAAAAATTATTTTTGGACGGACACTATAATTTACAGTTTTTTACTATGTAAAATCTGAATTTTCTTTAAAATAAAAAACATCTATATTGATTCTGAAAAACCTGAAAAACAGGCTCAGGGCTTAAGAGGTTAAGGAACATGTTCGTGTGTCATTTAGGAAACGTATATTTGCCCTGTGTTTTCTTGTGTTCGGGGGAGCATTTCTGCAATTGGTTGCTGTTGAAGCAAGGTAATGTTTCCCCATTGTTGTTTGGTGGTGCACAACTAAATAATAATGATTAATCTCAACTATTCCTGTGTTTTGTGTTTTATTGATTCCTCTCTGTTTCATTCTTTCCTGTTGTGAGTACTGGATCGCCACAACATTTTGGAGGTTCTACCGAGATTGCCGATGCTGGAGGTTGCTGTGTTCCTTCTCTGGGGGTCTCAACTCCCTTGGCCAGGGAGCCCTGAGACGGCTGTGGTAAAATCTCGAGGAATTGAGAAACCAGACTTGAGACTTCCACAGAAGAAATACCGACTCACAGTAAGCAAAACGTATTTGGAATGAAATGACTTTTGAAGTTGTATTG